TAAATAAAATAAAATAAAATCCTAAGCTAATAAAAATACTGAAAAAATAAATTTCCATATGCGCCTGCGTCACACCCTCTCAAAAAAAGGGTGAATAATATACTGCACAAGCAAAACGTTAATTGTCAATCTTCAGTCCAAAGTTAACCAGTACAACATGTCACCTCACTTGCTTTGTGGAATCTTCCCTACTATTTTTGGCTTCTACTAATCATTTTTATTGGCTTATTTGTACCCAGCTACATGACAGAAATCCCTTTAGTCAATCATCATTTTCCAACTTTGTCCTAGCTTAGAAAAATATGTTCAGTCAAACCCTTGTCACTTTATTAATCTGATTGGATGCTTGCATTTTCTGCGTGATAGTTGTTTTGATACTATTTTTGCAACTATAGATTTGAAGCCAATTAGGTATCATCTCATGTGAAATTGTACGAGGTAGAAGACAAAAGGAATATTCTGTTGCTTCCTCTCAAACGAGAACTAGACGCGTTTCTCATATTTTTATATGCCTTTTTTGGTTAGTTTTAGATTTATGAATTCGATTGTTATTTTATGTGTGGTTTTTGAGCTAGGAGCATTTAGAGTTTCAATTGTACTCATATACTATCAAATAATAGCTAGCTACTAACAAGGAGATTTTTTTTGACTCTTTCCGAGTGCTTTGTTCTTCAGATCTATCCAAAGCAAAAGAAAGGGGAAAAGTGTTCAGTTGCTTGCTGAGCTTTATAAGATGACTAATAGAAGCTCAATCAAACAACCTTGCCTAATAAACTGGAATGGGGTTAGTTAAAACAAGTGAAAAAGATAAACGAATTTCAAATATTATACAAGAAATTAGCTTTGCAAGTGTACGTTTCTTATTAGTGCCCACCCAACCAATAAAGTGGATAACATTCGATTCAATAAATGGCAATGTCTTTAGATTTAGTAAGTTATAGAAGAGGAGAAAGCCCTAGGAAAAAGGAAAGTCAAGCTATTAGCAAGCGTGAAAATTCTTCAATTGCTGATATCTCAAGTTAAGGGGCTGATTGATCGACAGCTATTAAGGGCCAACAATAGGACCAACAGCTGCGTGAGCCTAACTCATTC